CCAGCACCACAATTCAAAGGCCTCAATCCTTTTGCGCTCAGCCTTCCTTATGGTCCAGCTTTCACAGCCATACATTGCAACTGGGAAAACCATAGCCTTGACTATACGCACTTTTGTTGGCAGGGTGATGTCTCTGCTTTTTAGTATGCTGTCTAGATTTGCCATAGCTTTCCTCCCCAGGAGCAAGCGTCTTTTAATTTCTTGGCTGTAGTCCCCGTCTGCAGTGATCTTGGAGCCCAGGAAAATAAAATCTGTCACTACCTCCATTTCTTCCCCATCTGTTTGCCAGGACCTGAGAGGACCGGATGCCATGATCTTAGTTTTCTTAATGTTGAGTTTCAAGCCAACTTTTGCACTCTCCTCCTTCACCCGCATCAAGAGGCTCTTTAGTTGCTCTTCACTTTCTGCCATTACAGTGGTATCATCTGCATATCTGAGGCTGTTGATATTTCTCCCAGCAACCTTAATTCCAACTGGTGATTCATCTAGCCCCGCCTTTCTCATGATGTGCTCTGCGTATAAGTTAAATAGGCAGGGCAACAGTATACAGCCTTGCTGAACTCCTTTCTCAATTTTGAACCAATCAGTGGTTCTGTGTCCAGTTCTCACTGTTGCTTCTTGACCCGCATATAGGTTTCTCAAGTGACAAATAAGATGGTCTGGTATTCCCATCTCTTTAAGGATTTGCCACAGTTTGTTGTGATCCACACAATCAAAGGCTTTAGCATAGTCAATGAAGCAGAAGTAGATGTTTTTCTGGAACTCCCTAGCTTTCTCCATGATCCAGAGTACGTTGGCAATTTGATCTCTAGTTCCTCTCCCTCTTCGAAATCCTGCCTGTACTTCTGGTAGTTCTCAGTCCACGTACTGCTGGAGCCTAGCTTGTAGGATTTTGAGCATAACTGTGCTAGCATGTGAAATGAGTGCAATGCTGGGGTAGTATGAACATTCTTTGGCATTGCCCTTCTTTGGGATGGGAATGTAAACTGACCTTTTCCAATCCTGTGGCCACTGCTGAGTTTTCCAAATTTGCTGGCATATTGAGTGTAGCACTTTTACTGCATTGTCTTTTAGGATTTTCAATAGCTCAGCTGGAATGCTGTCACCTCCACTAGCTTTGTTCTTGTTCAGACTTCCTAAGGCCCATTTGACTTCACATTCCAGGATGTCTGGCTCGAGGTCAGTGACCACCCCATCGTGGTTATCAGGGATGTTAAGCTCTTTCTTGTATAGTTCTTCTGTGGAACCTTGCCACCTCTTCTTAATCTCTTCTGCCTCTGTTAGGTCCCTGCCATTTTGGTCCTTTATCATGCCCATCTTTGCATGAAACATTCCCTTCATATCTCCAATTATCTTGAAGAGATCTCTGGTCCTCCCTATTCTACTGTTTTCTTCTATTTCTTTGCACTGTTCATTTAAGAAGGCATTCTTATCTCTTCTAGCTATTCTCTGGAATTCTGAATTCAATTGGGTGTATCTTTCTCTTTCTCCCTTGCCTTTCACTTCCCTTCTTTCCTCAGCTATTTGTAAACCTTCCTCAGTCAGCCATTTGCTTTCTTGCATTTCTTTTTCTTTGGGATGGTTTGATTTAGGTCATACCTAAAAGCCTAGTGCTTTTCCCTATTTTCTTCAATTTAAGCCTAAATTTTGCAACGAGAAGCTCATGATCTGAGCCACAGTCAGCTCCTGGTCTAGTTTTTACTGACTGTATAGAGCTTCTCCATCTTTGGCTGCAGAGCACATAGTCTATCTGATTTCTGTGCTGACCGTCTGGGGATGTCCATGTGTAGAGTCGTTTTGAGCAATCACCTTTCTAGCATGTGAAATGAGTGCAATGGTGCGGTAGTTTGAACATTCGTTGTCTCTTGGGTTGTTGGAAAAGAGTGTTTGCTATGACCATCGTATTTTCTTGACAAAATTCTACCAGCCTGTGCCCTGCTTCATTTTGTATTCCATGGCCAAACTTGCCTGTTATTCCGGTCATCTTTTGGCTTCCTACTTTAACATTCCAATCCCCCATGATGATAAGGACATCATTTTTGGGTGTTAATTCTAGAAGGTGTTATAGGCCTTCATAGAACCGGTCAACTTCAGCCTCTTCAGCACCAGTGGTTGGGGCATAGACTTGGACTACTGAGATGTTGAATGGTTTGCCTTGGATTCGAACTGAGATCATTCTGTCATTTTGGAGATTGTATCCCAGTACTGCTTTTCCTACTCTTTTATTGACATTTATTTATTTATTTAAAACATTTCTATGCTGCCCCCATTGCAACAAATCCTCAGAGCGGCTCACAAAAAATACATAAAACCATACATAAATAATAATAATATAATAATTTAAAAGAAAAAAAACATTTAAAAACCCCCGATGCATTCTTGGCTAATTTTATAATCCTAATTAATTCAATAATTTAGCAATTAAAATAAGTTTTAAATAAAAAGGTCTTAGCCTGGCGCTGAAAAACAAATAATGATGGCACCAGGCGGACCTCTCTGGGGAGTGCATTCCATAGATGGGGTGCCACCGCAGAGAAAGCCCTCCCCTGGGTACTCACCCTCCTAATATCATTCACAGAGGGTTCCCGGAGAAGGGCATCCGTTGCCGATCTCAAGGGGCGGGAAGGCATATATGGGCGCAAGCATTCCTTTAGATATCCAGGTCCCAAGCCGTTTGAAGGCTACTCCATTTCTTCTGAGGGATTCTTGCCCGCAGTAGTATACCTGATGGTCATCTGAATTAAATTCACCCATTCTTGTCCATTTTAGTTCACTGATTCCTAAGATGTTGATGTTCAATCTTGTCATCTCTTGCTTGACCACATCCAGCTTGCCTTGATTCATGGATCTTACATTCCAGGTTCCTATGGAGTATAGATCTTTGCAGCATCGGACTTTCCTTTCACCATTCTCCTTTAACACTCCTTTAATTCTATTACCATCCAATGGTCCAACTGCTGTTTTAGCTGATTTCTTCTGATGTATTTATATAATTCTCATCCCTGTGTACAGGCCTGACTTGTCCCAAAATGTTCCGTAGTGCCTAACCAATCTGAACTCTTCTCTATAGACCAGTATCTCACTCACACATTGATACTTCTGAGCTGTGCTTGTCTAACTGGTTCCCCTTGAGGAGCCTGGAAAGTCTTGGATTTCACTTTTTCACCTAGCAACTAACTTTGGCTTCCAGGGTCTCATGACTACATATGTTTCTCCACATCATTAGTACCAACATGGACCAAGACTACTGACTCCAGCCCTGCACCACCTACAAGACTCTCTAGGCGATGTGTGATCGCTGTAACCTTTGTACCAGGTAGGCAATTGCACCATGTGGTCTCCAAACCCAGCTAGTGCACACCCAGCTAGGTATGTGTGGTACATTTTATCATAATCTGATGACCACAGTTACCCCAATTTAAACATGTTATCAGGAAAAAAAAATCCCTGTTAATCTGAATGCAACTGTGTGTGGGCATCTGTGAGCACAACTCTGTGTGCATCTGTGAGTGTGTAAGTGAGAGAAAAAGAGGGAAAGAGGGAAATTGTCTCCCTTGATGAAAATCTGTGAGAGACATATAATGTCCATGAATATGAATTGGGTTACTAGATATGACTCTTACCTTTTCAAGCTCATCAGATATCGCGATACCTGCAAACAAAACAAGATTGTGATCTATTTAAAAAATAAATAACTAAAAGCAAATCACTTTGAGTTTGTGTAATTACCCTGCAGCTAGAGTAAATCAACCTCCATGACAATCTGTTTTTGTAATTAAAGTGATCAGTCACTATGGTTTGCAATTATAGGATTTTCATGGCTTATACATGAAAATCCTTTCCTACTTTCAACTATGTTTACCCATTTTATCAGAGGCCAGACAAATTGTGGTTATACTTAAGCAGGGTTTAGGGAAACTTTGCCAGGGAAAGTTGAAGGTAGAAGAAGGAAAGGAAGACTAAATAAGAGATAGAGTGACTCCATAAAGAAAGCTACAGCCTTGAATTTAGAATAGCCAAGCAGGACTGTCATGGATAGGGCATTGGAGAGAGCTTTCATTCACAGAGTCACTGTAAGTTGGAGATGACAGCACATAACAGCAACAGCTGGGAGCTGTGCCAACTTCAAATCATGCTTTACAACTCTGGCTTCTTTTCCTAAGCTTTAAGTAAGACTAACCACAACTCTCAGTTAGTACAATATGGGTAACTGTGCTTAGCTGAAAATGGAAGTAAAACCTACCTGTTTCTTGTTCATTACTATGCTGGAATAGAAGAAAGGGGAAGCACATGAGCCTTGCCTCATCTGGGCCCAATTTCATAGTACTAAACTGTACGGGAAACCTCGAAATCTATTTTTGGAGGGGGAAATAAGGGGAAAAATTGTCTATATGCCCTTCCATTTGTGTGAGCTTCTGGGACCTTCTAGGAATAAAATGATCCAATTGGGTTCAACAGAGCATATTTTTTCAAAATGCCACACACACACAAAATCACATGCCATGTGCACTTTAAAATTCACTAAAAAGAGGTTGATTCCTAGTTCCTTAAAAGCTTTTCAGAACTGATTACATATTGACCAATTTGTCAGTCTTGATTACTTCCTCGTATTGACTTTTGTGATGAAAAAGCACTGTGTAGTACAGAATACGGTAATTAGCATTTTATGATTGGATCAATATTTAGGATTGCAAATATACTTGCCATTATTGGAATTTTTTCACACTACATTCACAAAGTACATACACACCAAATAAAATGCACTTGTTTCAAGCAGTTAATCTGTTTTTAATCCATAGGGATTAATTTAGCCAAGAAAATACATCCGTCCATTTCTGGTTGTAGGGATACTGGGTCCAGGAATCATCATTCCTTCTTATAGTGATTCATCTTCTTATGTGTAAGCTTTTGCTGCCAAAAGGTAGAAGGGGAGGACAGAGCACAGACATACACGAAGGACAGAAAGAACCCTAGTCCTAACCACTTGCCTAGAGAGGCCACTTCCTGGCTCTTATGGAGAAACATATCCTAAAACAGCTCCAGGGACAAAACAAAGCACTACCTTTAGAAATCAGATTTTAAAAGAAGAAAACTTTCTTCATTTGGAGGCTTGGATTAGACAATTTGAGTCCAGTCTCAGCTACATTAATATCTTCACTCAAATCTGTTGAAAAATCAATGGTGCTAATATAGGTGAGACTGGGCACAAAGTGTCTACCCCAAAAACTCAAAATGGAGTCAATAAAATGGGGGGGAAGCAAAACAGGCCAATGAGGACAGAGCAAATTCAGTGGGCACAGAATGCTGGCTGACTGGAAGTTTAAAAAAATGAAAATTGGGTATGTGGGGAAAAGAAGGAGCATCCTAGAGTAGGGCATGATTGAGCCCTCCACACTTTGACACTAATCTCTTTCCAAACTGACAAAGTGTCAGTAATTACAATGCTAAAAAATACTAAAATACTCCTTCACATCTATGGGAAGCCTCAGCTTGTTCTGTTGGCCTTGAGAGAGTCTTGATTAGCATCTTAGTTTCTGTGTCTCAGTACTCTATCAAACTATATCACTGAAACACAAGATCAGGTGCTCCTGCTGTCTCCCATAAGCTTATCTGACTTATGCAGGTTTGACTCTGCCTGACTAACAGTTCACCTGAAATAAAAATGACCACAGAGCCTTTATTTCTCACTCTTTGTCCTACTTGACCCTTAGAATGCTATAATTCCATATTTTCCACTGGTAAGCCACCCTGTTATCTGTTAAAATCCTGCAACTGGACACTTACTGATTGCACTCTGGTTTCTGCTAGGCTGTCACCTTGATTTGATATTCCAGTCCCAGATTCTTGGCTGCTTACTATAATCTAACTTGCTCCTGCTGACATCCCTCCTGACACTATCAAGATAATAGCTCAGCTGGTGTAAACAAGGATCTCCTATGTCCACAGCTACTCCACAAGTACACTAAATGTCAAACAGGATGAAGGCATATGCTGCCCTGACCTTCCTACTTGTAACTAAGGGTGCAACTAAAGCCCTACCTATTTTTAATTGTTCATGCATGAGGCTGTATGCACACCCTCAATGCAATGTTGCATACTGGGGACCATGTCTCTCTTCCAGGAGTTTACTAAATGTGTGAGAAGGGAGGCTCTTCCCACAGAGTCATGGGAATGATTCTGTAGTTGACCAGGGCCAACTACAGCAGGAAATTTGGGAAACACTGAATTTTCACGATTTTGCCTATCACAGTGGTATCTGAAGGTACTGATTAGTTTCCTCTTCAGAGCCCCTGATGCAGTTCATCTGGGTGTGCATGCACGTGCACAAACATTTGTGCATGTGTGTGTGTTTACACACACCAACCTACAAACTACAATTGGTTATGTTCATATCAGGTCTGCATATTACTGTTTAGGCAAGCTATATTTGCTTGTATCAGCGTCTGCCTTCACTGAGCCTGACCACAGAATTTGACTTAACCTTCTACCTGTTATGAATGACAGACTATGTTGATCCAGCCTGGATGCAAACCCTCTGGTCACAATAGGTAGAACTTTGTCTGATGGTCTGGTTACCATCAGCTGCAGCTTTCCATCAAAATTGTTTATTCATGAACATATATGCTGTATTGTTCAAGGAATTAGATACTGCACAATATTCTAAAGCTGCTGCTTTTTAAGTTCTCAGTATCTGTGCAACATTTTGTCACAGTGAAAGGTACTGTCCCTGATATTAGTCAGTGAGGCAATTATCTTAGACAGCAGAGGATGTCATTAAATGGTAGTAAATTATCTATTTAATTTCATTTAATTCATTTATTAGATGCTTAAATGAAAGCATATTTAGAGGTGTGAAGGCTGGATGATAATCAGAGACAAATGCAGGTTTTTTTCCAGTAATCTCCAAAAAGATTACTGGAAAAAATAGATTTAAAATATCTGTTTCTCACATCATTTTTCACACACCTTCAAATCACCAATCTTCCTATTTTGACTTTGCTGCCAGGAAGGATGGGGAAGGCGTTGCTTCTGGGATTTTCAAAATAATTTGAAAATTATTAGCAGGCTTTGACTATGATGCCCCTTGACTTGGTGGGCATGATTTAGCTACTCTGCCTCAGGCAACAAAATGTTTTGGGTTAGGGTTTGATAGACACCAAACCTGTTCAAAATCTGTATATTGAAAACATACCACTGCCACCATTTTCTAGTGGGAAGGAAGCCAGCAGAGTGGCCATGTTATGCTTTGGAAAGATGGAAACCTCAAAATGCATCCCTTTAACACTGCTTGTTCTAAGAAACCAGATATTACACACCAATCAGATGACTCCATCTTGGTTGTCAGATATGTAGGATCATTCCTCACTTTAAAAAGCATCACTCTCACTGAAAATGTGAGTCTCACCTCATGTGTTTCATCAGTTTAAAGAAGCCACTGCTTTCTTGCCTACAGTGATTTCCTCCAAGTAAGCACAGAAAGATTGTTGCCATTATTTTAATGTCACTGAAGCCATTTTTATAGAAGACATACTGGTTTGTAACCTGTTTCCTTTTTGGCCCATGGGGTAAATACACCAAATTGCCCAATGACTTGTATTATATTTAAAAGAAGAGGTTTGTGCTGATCCATTCTTTCTGAATTGCCAGCAGACGTCCTTGCTAAAAAAAACCCAACATTTTTATTTGCTTAAGTAAATCTGGTTTTGACACACCACAGCTGGGATCATTTCTCTTATGCTTATGACTTTAGCTTATGACATTAAAACAAACTATCCAGTAACATTGTGCAAATGTTACTTTTGTACCATTTACATTAGAATTAGCTTACTCTACAACCAAATAGCTGCCATGTTTCCCAAATTTCCAAAACAGGTCAACAACATAATCTCCTTGAAGAAATATCTCTGAACCCAATAATGCACACTAACTGTCTTAGAAACTGTCTTAGTGTTCTGAGAATCTGAGTAAAAAAATCCTTGAAAAGGTACAGCCAGAAGACATTATCTGGCAAAGCAAAAGGAAGAATCTACAAACAGCTGACCTTCTATTTAATAACACGATTCTTAAGTCCCTGCTGTTTTGGTGCTTTAGACTGAAGGGGACAACATCTGTGATGCAAGTTAATAAAAATCTGGAGGTTAAATCCAAAAACATATAAGCAGTTGTCTTCTCTTGTGCCCACTGCAGCCCTCCATGCACCCTGAAGGTCTGTTCCAGAGGTCTTCCCAGTACTATGGAATACATGTTGGGGGTATGCAGATGGGGAGGGAATCCCCCCGCCCTATACACTCCTGATTCTACTGAATATGGCAGTGGAGGAGCAGCACTGGACCTAGGACTCCATACATAATGGATCACTGTGTGTATGGATATGTGTGTGCATGCACATGTATAGATGTGCGTATAGGTAGCTAGGTGTCTGCATTACAAATCTGTGGCAATTACAGTTGCACCGAAGAAACAAACAATCACAGGAATAGAGGAGAGCAATAAAAAGATATAAAATTACCATTGTTTTGAAAACTGACATTGCCCTGACACTTTTTCTTTTAGCGATGTTACATTACATTGGTATGAGAACTGAGAGTGGGTCTGGGGAGGATTTAGATTAAGTCCTATTCTTCTACCCCTACCAGTGGCTTAGTTGTACCAGTGGTGGACCAGGATGACACAAATGTAAAAAGAGATTTCACTGTAAGCAAGGGGTCTTGCTTCCAGATAAACATGCTTAAGATCAAGGCTTTCAATCTCAGCATTTTGATTTTGGCCATTACATAATGAATGATGCATTATCTGAGCAAAAATAGTATCGCTTAGCAACTGCAACACTTAGATAATTTTATCTTGCCTTAAAATTTGTGGAAACAGACTTTAAAATGTCAGTCATACCATTCTTCACCAGAGGTCTATGCTAGTGTTCATGATGCACATTTGACAGAGCATAAAAAAAAAAATCTAAAAAACTTGCTCACTTGCAATAATTCTGCTTGGATATAGGACAGAGCTACCCATCTGTAGGTGTCCCACTATTCAATGTCATCCTTACTAACTCCCATATTTCAAAGATGCAAGAATGGAAAATCAAATTTACATTTTCCTGAAAAGTATTGAACAGGAAATGACTGATAAGACATTTAGCTGGATACCACAATTTATTATCAAGCTAGTGGCATTCCTTTGCTTTCTTCAAGGATCGTAGGCCATTGCAATGATCAGAAATTCTTAAGGTTTCCAGCTTAAAAATGCACAAGCAATACATATTCAAGCTTTATCCTGTCCTTAAACTGTGTTTTAAGTGACTGTGTAAATCTAGGTCCAGTGAACCTGGGATCATAATTCTATTGACTTGAGTTATTCCTAATTTGTATTCCTATAAATAAGGGAAGTCACGTGCCTTTTAAGAATATTGCTGAAATGTACACAGCATTCTGCAGTAATCAACTTACTTCGAGAAAGATTCTCCAAGGCTTTACCCAGCTTCTTGCTTTCTTGAAGTATATGATTTAATTCATCAAAATCATGATGCTCTGATTTTGATCTCCAGTCCCATTTGGGGTGTTCTGTTGATCTTGGTACTAAAATAAAATAAAGCACAATGTATTTCCTTATGAAATAAAAAATCTATAACAAGAGCCTATATCCAAGATAGGATACTCCAAAGAATACTAGAGATCTACTTGCCCCAGTTCTTGATATATATTTTAAATTAAAAACTTGAATTCACACTTTGTGAATATGAAATCATTTCTTACTATTCTGGTTTATCAACATGCAAGTATGCAGAATATGTTTAAATCAAAATGCATTAGCTTCATTAGAATTAAGCTACCAAGGTATCCTTCTGAATAAAGATGCAGGATAAAATGCAAATACATACATACATACATACATACATACATACATACATACAGTACATCCCTAGGATACATGTATACTAGAAAACATAAAGAAAGTGAAGAAGGCTGCCAGGACGCTTCCCAGGAGGATATTTGTTATATTAACCACAACATGGCAAGGGATGCTGAATAAATCCACCACTAATCCAACAGAGAAAGGCCTTCTGATTTTTGAAGAGAGAATTGGAAATGTAATCTATACGAGTACGTAGTGCTGCTGCAGTATTCCATCCAGCCATCTCTTATTTCCCCATACTCCATAACCTCTCTCCCCAGTTTTCCATTTCCCCATCACTACAAGAGAAACCCAACATTGGGGGGGGGGGGTGCACTCAGTCTTCATTGGACTATTTGGTTTGAGGAGAGTGAGGAATAGTCTTCTCATAGTTCAGTTTCCTAAAGGTTTTTATTCTTTAATTCTGAAAATGTTAATATTCCCCTATGCATTCTTCCTCTTGTTTCTCAGAGGCACATTTTAACTAAATGGCTTTCATAACTCAGAACTTGAGTTTGCTATTAATAAAAATAATTTTACGATAGGTTCATATGCTGTCCACATTTCCTTATAACTGTCTACTTGGACTTTGAGTCCATCATTATACTAGGGGGAAAGGAAAAAACAGCATAGGATTATTGGGGAAATACAGGACTCTGATCTTGTTTCTATATCCAGAAGCATGTGCTATACCGAACTGGGAGTAATTTTCTCCAGCCCAGCATTCACTTGACTTTGACTCTTTGCCATGCCTCGGGGCAACATAAGAAAACTCTGACCATATGGAGCTAGTGAATTCAGTGGCTTCTCCTTACAGCAACCTCTACATCCAAAAAAGTGAGTTAAAGTTGGCCTGAGGATTAAGTGGAGGCTTTCTTAAGTAATTGCACTGGTCCAGAAAGCAGCAGCATTTCTGCAGCTCCCATACCACCAGAGTAACAGAAAAACATGGCTTCTGAAATCTTCTATTTTTTAAATAATATTTTTTATCAAATGCTCCCTCATACAGGCAACAAAGTTTCCTCAATAAAAATGCCACCAGTTTCACTGTTTATCTCTGTTAATCACTACTGCAATTCTTATAGAGGAGTAGGGATAATTCCCTACTGATACACTTGACCTTCTCTGACTTTCATATTCAAGCATTTATTAAAGTTAGTATGAAAGTGTGTTAAATCTCCATCATATTACCTGAATTAACATTATCACTTATTCCAGTCATTCATAATGCAATAGATTTACTACAGTATACGTGAAAGTTATTTTAACTCTTCCTATTTCCTATTGCAACTGCTTTTCTTTACTGCAACAATGTAGCAAAAATAAGTTTCGCTCACTTTCTCCCTATTTTTCAATACAGTCTTACATTGCCTTTCAAGGATACATTTTATTCTATACATTTAATTCCTAAAAATGCTGTTGTTACTTGCAAGTTAAGAAGACATAAAAATGACAATTTAGGTTAATATCTTCTCATGGAGGTGCATGAAGTTCATGCAGAAAGTATTGGGAGAGCAGCATGAAGACGGAAATAGCCCAGTTTATTATAGTGTAAAGTGATGCTACACTTCAATTTAACTACAGCCTAACAGGTGTTTTACCCTCTCAGACGGCCTAAAATGGGGAGGGCAGAAAATATGGCAGCCTTCAGACAGTATGTCTGTACAAGCACAAATCACATGCATATTAAAGACATAAATGAACCATACAATCTGTGGATAGAGCTCATTGGCTATATAACAAGGAATATCTGCTTTTAATATGAAATCATAACATTATCACTAGCAAGCCCTCTCTCTCTCTCTCTCTCTCTCTCTCTGGTTTGAACCAAGAATTTTCCAGATGTACACATTTTAACTTGAAAGGACAGTCTCTACTTCACTCCTATTTCAGCTATTATGAATCACAAACTTAGAAGAATTTAATCACTATACTTCATTCTTCCTTACATGATTTTGACTCTGGTGATGGAGGAGAAATGTTGGATACAGCAAGGTCACTCTTTGATTTTTTAGGCTTCTTTGCATTTGTTTGCCAGGGTTTATCATAACTTTTAAAATCCCTTCTCACTCCCTTGTTTTCTGTTGGAAAAAAATAAGATCATGTTTGCATTTTAATGATATGTATTTTATTGTTGCATACACTATTTGTATAAAAGCATCATACCAGTATTACACAACTGATGAACAGGTATGCTCAATAACGATTATGAGAATTTGATTAAAAGACACTTATCTCTCTATTACAAAAATGTACTTAAGTTCAATGCAAATTTAATTCTGTTTTGTTCTTTGCCTAGGTAGTGGTATTATTTCCAGAAAGAGAGATGCACCTTTGGTGTGTTATTCAGAACAATAAGTACTGTACCAGATTTTATTTGCATAGTCATTTTGACATTCATATCCAAAATATATCCTGATAAAACTATATGCAGGTGAAGTGTAGAATGCTACAAAAGAAGCATCTCAAATCATTAACATCAAAAAATCCTCTTAACTGCTGGATAGACACCAAGGAGGAAGCACACCCTGAAATCTCAGAACCATAGTCATCCAATCTAAATGCTTCTTAAGAAATTCCTAAAAGATCATTGCATTTAATTGTGCCACTCAAAAACAACACCTGTGATGTATTTCTGGGAAGGAAAGCCATTAAAACTTAGGGACTATGGAGAAATACTATATTTTCATCCATTTGTTTATGTCCTCCAGTATCTGCATTCTGGGAGTAACCTCAGAATGATTTCATAATGTAACCAAGTAAGCCAGAAGCTTCATGAGTATTGGACATAAAACAGCTTGTGACTGCCTTCATTATGGAAAGAAAGCTTCAAACTGACACATGTATTAGTCAGTTGGAAGAGCAGAGATCAAAGCAGAAAAAAGGAGCAAGTCTTCCTGCTAGAAGATTCAGTAGTAACTGGGTCTACAGCAGTGCACTATGCTGTGAAATTGGGCCAAAGATTTAGGCAGGCAGCAGAGCCCAGAAGGTTCAAACATCAGTCTGATCAGAGAGAAATTCAGGTAGCTGTTAGGAAATGGCATGTCCTACAACCTATGGCCTGACAACTAACTATTGTTCCGCATACCTGCAGTTTCACTTTCTGCCCAGAGAGCAGCAGATCCAGACAGTGTCCTCTGAAGCTGGCCACGGCTCCCCTGCTTGGACTGGAGGTGGTCAATAAGAAATGGGATTGGATGGTCAGGAGTTTCTGTTATCAGCTTGGTCATCAGTTCCTTAAAAACATCAAATTAATGAAGTGTTAAGTATATGCTCTTAAATTCCATCTTGTATTAGTGAAAAATTAAAATATAATTATTGGTAATTATAATATTATAATCAATAGAATCATTTCTTACAGAATGATATCCACTTTTCTAATATTCTACCTTGCTCACAAAAAGCCTGGCCAAACCACATGTGAAGACAGTTGCTTCTGGAATAAATAACATTCTTTATGAGAATCTGGTGAAAGGCTCAGCTCTTGACCTAGCACATGGCACAGGATGAATGCTTTGCATGGCTTCATAATGAACACAGCAGTATTCATCCATATGAGACTTGGTGGAATTAACTTCCAAGTATACAAGCAAAGGATGGCACCGTTATGCAATGCACCCTCTGAACACCGGACTTTAAAGAGAAGTTTACACTTTGGTTTTCACAACAAAACTGTTGCAATAATTACAACATCATGCTTCTGGGTTGACCTGTTATTATCAATGCTTCTCAACTCCCCGTTGCACCTGACAATGAACTGTAGCTCCCATTCATACAGACCTCTGTACATACTAAGTTATATGCAGCATTGGACAATGGTCAATAAATAAAACAAGCAATTCTGACTAAACAGGAGCTGATGCATTGGATTCAGCAGTTTACCTAGTGAAACTGAAGCTAATTTACAAGATAGTTTAATATACAGCAATATGAGCCCAAGTAATTAAAAGAAGCTACTCTGGTTTTGTAGACTTTAGAAGGCAAGTGCATGTGTGCAAGATAAATAACCAAGCAGAATGATCATTAATCTTTGCCACCTTCACTGAGCTCAAAGGAACAAATAAGAACCAGTGTGATTGCTGTATTGATCTCTAGACTAACTGGCAACTAATTTGCTATTCTTCTCAAGCTTTTATTTTCCACTACAAATTGGAAATAAAGCCAGTTCTTAATAGTCTACTAAAAACTAAAGTAAATTTACTAAATTTAGTAAATTTACTAAATGTAAATTTTACATTTCTCAACTACCCTGTTTCTGTTCTCTTCTTACCCTTTTTCCCAATCTAAATGTATATGTTATGATTCTCAGGGAAAGTGTTTTGCTTATTTTACTTTATAAATATTCATTGATGGCATAGGTAAGCAATTACATAGATAGACAATAAAATAACAGAGTAGTTTAACTAAAACTTAGAATGTATATATACAAGCATGAATTAATAAATACAGTCTTGACCATTCCATCATCAGCTTAACTGAGACACCCCTTTCTCTCACCTATCAATCCACCTCTGCAGTAGGAAGAGATAGTATAGCAGAGCTACTCCCTTAGTTCACTTGCAAGTCTAGTTGCCATTTGGCTTTTCTTATCCCTGAACTGTCTCAATTAAAGCTGTTCATTAAGAGCACTTAAGAAGTAGTGCCAAAGTTAGTTTACTTTCTTCTTCCCTCCCAATCCCTTTATCCTTCTGTGTTATGTCCACTAAATCATACACCCATGGCAAGGGACTATTTTCTTCCAAAATCCAATGCTGAAATCTATGAAAGCAACCTGAAATATTAGATTCCTATGGGGAAAAGATTATACGGTAATTGGTATAAGAATACATGTTGCACATATCCCACATTGTATATTGTGAAATATATTTTAGCTAACCACAGCTTTCTGTGGCATCTGAACAAGGAACTGTACTTATCTGAACTGTACTGTGGTTAATTTAAACAATACAGCTCTGAAAATTATTGTTAACTAAAAGTGACAGTAAAAGCTCCCAGACCCCTCCTAGCTGCATGAGAAGTGGAAGGCAACTCTGAGAGCCTAAGACCTGCTGCTGCTCATTCCTGCTTGTCCACCACATTTAGCATGGCGTGCAAGTATGACTTCTATGTTTATATATGTTTCAAAGAATCTAAAGATTTTTGTTGGTCTATTTATCATCACCAAAAATCCTAACATATAAGGGATTTGAGGGAGAAGCTGTCTTTGTCATTCACATGTTCACAATTCACAGGTCACTCTGTTTGCAAGGTTTTGAAAGGGATAAACATGGCATTCTGACAAGGAATTATAGAATTTTTATGATTGCACATTTCCCTTTCAGAGTGCTATGTTTCACCCTGTCTAAAACACTGTTTTAAAAGAAAGCCTTTTTTTACAGCTGTCAAAACATCATTTTCCCCTGAATGGGATAGGCTCCACTTTCCCAAGGATACTGAGAACCATCAGGTTTACATATAAAAATGAGGAAGCGTGTTGCACAGGGAGTGATATACACATTACCCTATTTGCAGGCAAACGTTCATTTGTAGCTTAGCACTCACCTGACAGCTTGTCATTTGACAGCTGTATCCAACCAGGTATCCAATGAAAACCAATATTCTAGTGGCCATGGTTTTGGTTTTGTTTTGTTTTGTTTTTTGAATAAATGAAAATGACCTTAGCAGCCAATCAATTACAAGCAAAATTATAAGAAAGCTATAATTTACATCATAAGTCTGCATATGTCAATCTATTATCTAAGAAGTTTTCTATCTTGCTTAGTAACTATCACAAGGTAGTCATGGAAGAGTTCCAGTTTTCATTTCTGTTATATATTCAATATAGAACATATTCTAAATTCTATACAGAACATATTCTTCATAATTTTCTATATTCTCATCCACATCAATATTCTGCAGTGATCCATATCTATTTTCTCCTTTACCTTAAAAAACCTCCACATTTCTGGAGAAAGAAATGCCTGACTTAAAATGACTTAAAAGTCTTGGGACGGTTTACAACATAAAGATCAGGCAGTAAATATTTTTGTAAAGCATCAAAAATTACTGATATTCATTATAATTTAATTTTCACAATAACAGATGTTCCCTGGGAAGATTACAAAAAGCTAAACAACAATCACTGTAGGAATAAATATAAAATATATGAAAGCAGCCAAATGCAATAGAAATAGACATTGGTTTGCATTGTTTTAGTTGACATAACTTCAGGTCTAAGATTGTTATAGATATGTTTTAAGAATCTATTTAAAAAAGAATATCCTAAATATCCTAATTATGAGAAAGCAAAACCCTAAGAGAGTGAAATAGCAATGCCATGATTAATACATTTGAGAATTAATTCCCTTCTATATTTTTATAAAATTGATTGATCAGTGTTAATTGGAACATGGCTCCTAGGCTAGACATGATACATGTTGCCTTTACATATATCTGAGTTGTTAACCAAAAACTACTTCTGCATTTCCCTGCTCCTTTTCCTGCTGTAAATGCACGCTATTTGCCTTCACTTGCAGCTAACTCGTTGCCTTCTGGAAGCCAGACAGCTGGCAGCTGCCACCAGTGCTCCATTCCGTTTCTGCCAAGCGGTGCTACCTACCTGGAAGCTAGGACTGGCAGATGCCCTTGCCTGAAAGCCAGAAGGGAAAAATGGGTGCTTTTGTCTTTCTTTAAAAAGAAAAAAGAAAAAAAGAAGGACTGAGAGTAGAGGGAGTAGGCAAAACACATTTCATTGGGAAAACACAGTGCCAGCTGCTTTATGAAAAAGCCTGCATGCAGATGCAGGGGTGCAAATGCAGCTTGCCCTTCCACAACTAGATTTATGTACCTTCTCCTTCTCTCTAAGGTCCCTACAAAACCTTAGTTTGCTCCAAAATGTCTCCAAACCCACAGAGCAGATTTAGGTGTGTGTCAGAACTGTACAAAGGAGAACAAATGTTCAGCTAGCAATTTCCCTTCTGCTGGTGGAATACCACTACATACAACTCTTTTAAGACTACCTCACAAATAAAAAAGAACAATTAACATCTTGCCTTCATTATGCATATAAAAAAGTTACCAGGACAGAGTTACTTATTCACACATGCACAGACACTTGTTCCAAAAAATAATAAACTTGCTAAATTAAAGTAGTCTTCAGATGTAAATTGTTTCACCACTAAAAATTGCATGTTAGAAATAACATCTCATTAATCATACAATCAGAAAACCCGTAATAATTCAGGGAGATATTGCAGTCTTCAGTTCGTTTTGACTGTTTCACTGATTTCTATTTTCATGAGGTTAAATGTAACTATCCTTTCCAAAATCAGAGTCCAAGTGGTGGGTCAAAGACAGAGAAGCTATGGGGGCTGTTGAAGAAACTGTGAAGTTTGCCAGACTGCAAAAATGGAAGCCCTGTTATGAGGTCCCAAGCCCAGTTTTAATGCATTTTGCCACATTAGGACAAAAACAAGGGCAAAAGCAGACCTCCAACAGCTATTTCTTTCATCTTTTTTTACCCATCAGTTCATCATTTTTCACCCTAGCAGGCACAGAGGCCACAATCTGGATTAGGACCATAGCATGGGATAGTGGATTTTTAGGGGCCTTGCAGGTTCATTTTCATTGAAAATTAACAAAAGATGCATCTGCCATGGATAGACTATTTTGGAGTGCTTTCACTCATAGGATTGCCAGGAGTTCAAGAAGACTTGATGGCACAGAACAATAGTAGCTGCTAGACAAAGATTTAAAGTCAAGAACACCCTGTCCCTTTGAAATAACGCAATTAAATGTCAGCCAATCTTGGAAAAAATGGGTAAGTCAGTCATCAGACCACTTCATTTTATATCCACACTCAGCCACCATTTCCCAACACACACTTCAGAATATCACACAGGCTGGAAGCAAGACCCTGATATGTTCAAATTGCTTAAACCCCGGTAAGTTCAAAGAACTTAAAAATCAGGAGTAAAGATCAGCGTTTTAGAGCAAGGGTTAGAAGTAACATCTGATGGTAGTCCTTTGTTTACACCTGAAATTTTTACATGGCAGTACAAAGCTGAATCCTCTCAATGCTTACTTGGCTCTCTGGAGCCTTTCCCACATGTTGTTTCTTATCTGAACTCATGGTCAGGATCAGAGCTCTGGTGAGTGAAGGAGGCTGCCGGAAGGAAGAGGGTTCAGCATCCACATCTGTGCACTTTAACCTGTTTCCCTGCAGTGCACACACATCTCATGCTTTATGGATTACTGG